TGACACCACCACATGGATGTCGGGCAGCCAACACTTGTGATTTCCCGCCAAATGCACTCACTACAGCTTGTGGCGAAGGTCGGTGGGCCAGTCCATAGTGGAAGGAGTCACTGTTAGAAGTCACTGTTGCTATCCCCACAACCGAATTGGAGAGGTAAAGAGCGAAAGACATCCCAAGATATCATAGCTGCTTGTCTTTGGAGGTAGCTTTCAAAATCACAACACAAATTAGGCCAATTGACCGAAATTCACTTGCAAATTAGTGCTTCTGAGGTTGGGCAAATTTGCTGCGAATCAGGTGTAATTTACATAGGTAAATTAGGGGCTCTCAAGCGCTGGTGCAAATTTGCCGTGCGAAGCAGAACCAGACCCTGCTTCCCGCAACACTATAGACTTCCCTGAAGCTCGCTGAGAGCTTTGTGGCTATCTTTTCGTCGTTGAAACCACTTAACTTGCTCTATTGATCCTATCTAACTGCTCTACATTGCCTAGAGTGCCAGCCCGCCTTGAAGGGATGTTCAAGCAGCTGCCCAAACCCGTAGAATTGCTCATAGGACTTTAAAGATTCTCTCTATGATATTTTTCTACTGAGCTACTAGTCGCACTCAAAGTAACATAGGGTCTCAAATGGGCAATATCACAAAAGAATTCGGCAGGCCATTGTCTTGCTTGTGTCTTGCGTTTGATGGCGAAAGGAGGCGATAGGGGCTGACCTTTGGAAGTAAGCAAGACCAAACAAACTAAAAACACCTTCTCCCCGACGTTCTGAGGCTTCATGTGGCTCTTTCACTCGTCCTACAGCCCTATATTCGTTCATTCTTAGCCCTAAACACGGTATTTATCGCATATTCTGTTGCCGTCCACTTTGGGCTCGGTACCCACTGTCAATCCCGCAGCCATCACTCGCGCGTGAATTCGAAATCCATCCGCGACGTTTCCGCCGACCGTACACGGGTGGGGGGTTCATGGTCGGCGCTTTGCGCCTCCACTCAGAGTTTTGGGCACAAAATTGAGTTAAAATTATAAGACCTTGTACTGTAAGCTCACTTCCGAAATAAGCAAAAATATTGGCGCTCAATTGTCGTCAAAGGCTTAGCTATTGCCTTGGGCTTATATTCCTTCATGTCAATGCTGGGGTACTATACTCCATAAGATTTACGGGTGTTTCCACTCTCATGAGCTGTGCAATGCACTTAAAAAGGCATCTTCAATTAAGTCAACTCCGCCGAAGCAACCACTGAGCCCCGACTATTCATTCATTTTCCAAAAAGGCACCATCCCAATTACCCAACTCCGAGTCTGTGAGCGAGTCTCTAACAATTTCATGCCTAACTACATACAAGTGTGACCTTGCTTACCAACGGCTCACAAACGAATTCGTCAGTCTGACTGTGGGAGACTATCCACACCCAGAAGAGGGACCCCAAGACCAATCTTAAGGATTCGGACATGTTCTGGGTATGTCGATGCCTTCTCGCTCCGTGAAGAGAGAAGCTAATATTGTTTACAGGACTACCTTTCCCAAAACCCAGAGTCGATCCACCAGGTCATGATCCTCTTCTCCGATCGCGGTACTCCCGACGGCTACCACCAGGAGCACGGCTACTCTGGACACACCTTCAAGTGGGTCAAGGATGATGGCTCTTTCGTCTACACCCAAGTCCACCTCCGCGCAGATAAGGGATTCAAGGTACGCATTTTCGCTTTTGTTGTGTTTTATCCACCTTAATGACATGAGTAGACTCTGGATGTAGACACCGCGACTAAGCTCGCTGGTGAGAACCCAGATTACGCCACCGGGACTCTCGTCGGTGCCGTCGAGTCCAAAAACTACCCCGTCTGGAACGTCTTTGTCGTAAATCCTCGAGCCTAATCTCCATAAACGATCTCTCATCTCGTTCGCAGCAAACCATGACTCCCGAGCAGGCCGAGAGCTTCCGCTACAACATCCTGGACTTGACCAAGATTTGGCCTCATAGCGAGTTCCCTCTTCGCCCTGTTGGCAAGCTCGTCTTGGACGAGAACCCTCAAAACTACTTTGCCGAAATCGAGCGGATCGCCTTCTCTCCCTCCCACGTCATTCCCCACATCGAGCCCTCTGCCGATCCCGTTCTCTAATCCCGTCTCTTCTCTTATCCTGATACTCACCGTCACGGTCTGGGTGCCAATTACCAGCAACTGCCGGTCAACGCACCTATCGTCCCTGTTGCCAACTTCCAGCGTGCTGGCCCGATGACCTTTGTTTCCCAAGGTCCCCGACCCAACTACCAGAGCACCATTCAGCCCTTGCAGTACAAGTGCGGCAAGGCTGATATGAATGCTTGCGCCCAAGATCTCGAGCGCCAGCGGAGGCACGAGAACTTTATCGGCGGTGCTTGGAGAGATCTTTCAGAGATCACTGAGCGTAAGTCATAATGACTACCTTTTCGAGAGTGCATATCGCTGATGAAGTACCAATCTAGTCGACTTTGAACAGCCCCGCGCGCTGTGGACCAAGGTCTCTGACGACAAGGCCAAGGCTGCATATGTCAAGAATGTTTCTGGGCATCTTGGTACCGTCAAGAGCAATGAGATCAAGGCTCGTCAACGTACGTATTCCAGCACATCCCTTTCGTGACCAAAACTCTAATCAACGACACATCGCTCCATACAGTCGCTGTCTACGCCGCTGTTGACCAAGGCTTGTCTGACCGTATCGCCAACGCCATTGGCCACCCCACCGTTTCGCCTCTCCAAGTCAAGCCTTCATCCGAGGCTGTCAAGTATCGCGCCAACTTCAGGTTCGTACCTGATCTTTCCAAGCTCAGGCTTTGAAGTTTGGGTTGCACTGCTCCCTGCTTCTGTGCAGGGTGACATCGTACTACCTGGCTTGAAGGCTTAGACTGTTGTTTCTTCATAACGTATTCTGACTTTCGTGTTATTCTTCCTACGATTAGGTCTGCCCAGTAAATGGCATTCATGTGGAGGTATGGTGCACCTTTTCTTGGTTGGTCACCATTCTTACCGTACTCGTGTGTCAGTCCATAGCACGAGTGTTTGATCGTCAGGAAAATCAAAGGATGTACCACATATGATAGTGCTTATTCGCCAGTAGACAGACGGTTTCAGTAGAAGTATGCGTTCGAGCTTCGAAGCACCAATTTATTGCACACGGCATCCCCGCGATCGGAAGTCAAAAAAGGCTAGGGACCCCGAAATGTGTTTAGGAACACGCCTCCAGCAGCTCGATGCTCGGCTTTCTCCGAGGGACTCCCCTTGAGTCCGACAGCCTTATTCTTTCGTCTATCCTCCTGCTCCAACAAAGAATTAAAGAGAATGACCTACTACGAAGCGGCAGCAGCATCCTTCTCCAAGGCCTTCCTGGCTGATTTCGGGGTCGGCGCAGGAGGAAGCCTCTCAAACGGATTCTCCTTCTCGTACTGAACGTACTTGCTCCCGCTCAGTGACCTCGTCACATTGGCCCCACCACCATTCATCCCCAAACTCTGGCTACCGATACCAGACGCGAAAGGGTAGGCATTCATCCCGCTTGAAGTTCCCTGCGTACCACGGTTGTAGTAGGTGCCGCTGTCGTAGTCGTAGTTTGAGATGGTTGGTACAGCTGCGGTGAATGCATAGGCATTCTTAGCGCCAGCTCCAGATCCGGAGGCGACGGGAGCAGAGTTTGCGAATGAAGAGGCGGGGTACCAGTCTATGCCTTCCTTCCCATCGAGGCCCAGGTTGTTCAACGGATCAGAGGGCTCGTATTGACTTAGAGGCGTCTTGAGAACGTGCTTGTGGCCCTTTTTGTATTGGGTGAGGGTGTAGGTGACGGTCCAGATGGTGATTCCGAGGCCTGAGGGAGAGAGGTCAGTAGGTGTGGAAGTGGAGAGAAAGAGTGACAACAGGTCCCGAAAACGATCCAGACAAAGGCTTTGAGAGCGTGCACGTCTCTGCACCACGCCCTCTCGGGTGAGAAGGCGACAGAGATGGCTTCGCATTGCATGGGGAGGTACTTCCAACGTGCGGTTGAGAAGGACGTTGAAGGCAAGGTGGGGGTGTCAGCATTCCACCAAAATAGAGGCTACGGATTGAACTCACCTAGCCAAAAGATGCTCAGAACACCCAAGATACCGGACTCGATGAGAGGTAGTCCGATGGGTGAACGAGCGAGGGCGAATTCCATTATTAGCCTGAACAAATGGCATCTGTTCAGCAAAGTCCTCCGGTGGGAGTCAGAGGGTGCACCCACATGGCAGACAGGAAAACCAAGGTGAGAATCGAAATTGCCATGGGGAATAGGTCGGCCAAGTTTGCGGAGGAAAGACCGAGGTTTAACAGGGGGGAAATGCTTTCCTCAGAGGGTGCACGCACAAAAAGAACTGATTAAACTTGGCGACCTTTACTGCGAGAGCGAGCGCAATGAGGTTGAAGGCGAACAGGGCAGCTGTAAATGCTCGGATGTTGGCCACATCTTCGAGAGACTTGGGATAGACTGGGACGCACCATGGCTGGCCACTTTCTTCTTCCCGATCTCAGAGAATTCCATCGTAAGCTACGAGGGTAGTTGTGCAAGTTGGCAGATGGTAATGGGCAATTGAAGAGGCCCAGAAAGTGGTACAGAGGTAGACCACTGCTGCCCAAGTCGTATACCAGAAAGTGTTGTTGTACAACCAGAGGGCGCCGGAATGCTGAGGCTAATCAATCGCTCAGCGACAAAAGAACCCCGAGCAGAGAGCCTCCAGTAGATAGAAAAAGGAAAGAGTGGTGAAAAGGAGCGAAGAACAGTGGACGGGAAGGAATAGAGAGCAGACAAGTGAGAGAAACAAGCAAAGCTGGACATGTCAGAAGCCGCGAGAGGGCTCAGGCTGTCGTGATAGTGTCGTTGCTGGGTAGCCTTGACAACTTTGATTGAACAATGAAGGGATTCTGAGAATATTTCCGAATAGTGTGCAGAAGAGGGCATGACACTTCAAAGAGTGGAATGCAATATAATAAAAAGAGGCCAGAAGCTACTATAATGCATTGAGAGGGAATCGAACCCCCTGCGGGTCGAGCTTTTCCGCTAAATGGCAACGACCCAGGTTACCACTACCCCATTAATGCTTGTGACTGAGAACCAAGTTGATATGTTATGATTCGTCCACTACACATACTCACAAGCCACCCGCGCCTATTCCAACTCATACCACAACCACGACCACGGCCAGCACCAGCAATGTAACACTCGACGACCTCGAACTTGTTGACGCCCCCTCCGATGACTCTCCTTCAGCGTCGCCGTCTGGGATGGACACTGGTGGCGATGAACCGCCTATGACCCCAATGGAGGTGGACGCCTCCTCCCACCTCTCATACCCAAACTACACTATCGAAGAACAGGGAGCCGCTTCGTCAGTCTGACGCTCACAACACTCAGCATGATGGATCTCTGGAGCTTGCTTCGTCCCAACCTGTCAAGACTCTGCTCAAGGATCGACTATATGTCGGAAACCTTCATCCAACGGTGGACGAGTATGGCGGACTATTCCTTGAACGAGTATTATGCTGACTGAAGTGAACAGATACTCGCTGCTCCATGTCTTCTCAAAGTTTGGAAAGGTTACAAAGCTGGGTTTCTTGTTCCACAAATCAGGGCCTATGAAAGGCAAGCCAAGGGCTATGTGTTTATCGAATACGGAACTCTAGAGGTGAGAGACCTTTCTGTTCCCTCCGTCCACCCCATATACATCCGCGCCCATGCCCGATCTACCACCGCTCTCTCTCTCTCTACCTTACGATCGGGCCCATGTTCAACGACGCGTTCAAAACAACCCACCCATTGTCCATGCATCCACGAAATCAGGTTGGGCCAATCTGAATTGAAGCTAATGCACGGTCTACTATGTAGCACAAAAGGCACTTTCAGTAGCGCATGGCAAGCTCCTGCGAGGTCGGAAGCTTGTCGTCACCTACGCCCAACAGGCACCGTTTGACCAGTATCCTGGAGGTGGAGGTATGGTTCTCTGCTCTGTTACATAGCTGAACATGCTAACCTAAACATGTCTACAGGCACCTATGGCAGGCGTCCTATGGTGGAAACCGGCCGTCCTACAACACTCAGTTTGATCAAGACAGGCCTCGCACAGCGAAGTCGTCCACAGATCTTTGTCCAAAAACAAACCTCGCTCAGTTTCTCGATTTAGTAAAACAGCATATAAGATCCGTCTCATGGAGGCGAAGCTTCTGCAGCTCTCGTCCTCAGATTCGTCCCTCTCGAATACACCGCAAGGCACAAGCACGCTTCCACACCACCCATCGCTGCCAGCTAAACCGCCACCTCCACTTCCAGCTCATCTCGTGCACGTCATCAAGCAATCTCAGCAAGCCTCGTCCTCGTCGTCGACGACAGCCAGCGTTCGAGTCCCAAGCTCCAGCTCATCGCAGACAAGCAGCGGCACCCCTCGACTCCCTCAGAAACCGCAGACGACAGTGACAGCAGGAGCAGCGACACCGTCCATGCTGCCCTCTCTTCCTCATAAACCATCCCAGGCTTCTCTCCCTCTCAAGCCAGCGTCTGGGACGATAGGCTCGGGCTCACGCCCTTCAAGCCTCGGCAGGCCTGGAGGAGGAACTGGTAAAGGCCTCCTACCGAATCTCCCTCTTCCAGCGAAACCGACCGGCGTAAGCGCAACTACTCCTCCCGTGGCTGTTAAACCTGCGAAACCAAAGTTGGCAGGGGGCGGATGAAGAATATGTCTGTTTGGGCGCTTTGGAATTTCGTTTTGCAAGATGCATCATCATCAAACAGGATCTACATTGTGCAGTTGTCTACCCTCTTGTCTCGAGTCCTTTACCATGATATTGCATTCTTTCCAGAGCTTCGCTTTGGGCTCCCCAACACGTTCGAAAGCTATCCCGTTTACTGGCTATTCAACCCTTCCACAATCGTGACTACGTCCTCCAAGCTAGCGAGTGTCACCTGGACCACCTATTCCGACGATACTGCACGTTCACATCCATCTAAGACATCTTTTTTTGGTAAACTCATACTCACCAGGATAGTGACGCCTACATCGCGAACTGCCTGCCACTACAAAGCACGTCTGATCTCCTCTTGCAAGTGGCCAGTCTCGAGTTTGCCCATGACATGACCTGTTTCTCCAGCCAATCGTCGTCCTCCCAGAAAAAGCTCGTCTATCCATGTGATGCTTGGGTGAAGCCGGACAAACTGCTTGATGGCATGGCCCGGGAGGAATGGCACTTGGGAAGAGCCGATGCCGTCTCACCGGTGTACGCTCATAGGTCGATAAGGCGTTACCAGCGCTTGGGGGCACTGTGAGTATTATCGGCGACTTTCTAGGTAGCAAACCCTCGAGCATGTCTTCCAAGTCAAGTCAAGGCCTCGACCTTTGCCTCAATGACATGACCAGTGACCTATCATGTACTACTACAGTGAACGGTAGGTATGATTCTGTTATCTTGGTGCGTTCCTACTACTCTAGCGACGGCGGTCTCGTGTTTGTCTTTGTGAAGCACTCCAAACGAGAGGATACCCCGAAGACCTGGAGAAGCTGGTCGCGCCTAGCGAGGCGGTTCCTATCTTAAGAGATATACAGCTGTCATCTGCAACACGCCGAGTCGGGTCGTCCACAAATCCGGATTCAGTAGATGAAGTTTGGCGCGGTTCAGGCCACCATAGCGAGCCAAGCCCGTCAATGCCTGTCTATCATCTGTCGCGGTTTGTTGTAGATTCTATTGCAAAAGAAATGCTTTGAGCTGATCTCACGCCGCAGTAATCCTCATCAAGTTGGAACACTTTCTGCACTTCCACATTGACTTTATACAGCATAGGACTACACAAACATTCAAGTACAGTATGGGTTTTACACATTTTCATCATTGTGCCGGGATCACACGAGTTCATGCCTACAGCACCTGTCGTCACACACAGACAACGAGCTGTTTGAGGCTAGTTGAGGTTGAAGCTCTGGTTGGCGTTGACGGAATCAACAGGCTTGAGGATGATCTAGATTACATGAGTATGGTCATGAAAGTCTCCTCGGATGCATGCATACGTACCTTGCTGTCAGAAGTCGCCTCCCAAGCAAAACCAGAAGCGACGATTCTTGGGTAGACGTGATGAGTATGGACTCGGCTTTGGAGTGTCGAGACACCTACTGATCTCCGGAACGAGTCCAGCGAGTCGCCTCGCCCATGGCTTTGACAGCCTGGCCGGAAGAGACGCTGGCAACAGAAGCATAGGAATTGTCGGTCCAGTTCTTGTTACGAAGAGTGAAAGTCCCGTTGTCGTAAGTCTTGAGAATCCACTGCGAATGTAGACCGTGAGACGATGGTTTCCGAGACATTACAGACCACTCACGCTCTCGTTGTCGGCGAAGCTGGAATCAACGAGTTCCAACTGCTTGTTGGGGGTATTGGTTGCAAGGCGAACCACCTTTTGAGCGGAAGCCGATTGGATAGAGTAGGTACCGCTGGAGACCATTGCTGAGTTGGGATAAGTGAAGAGGTTGAGAGATTTTCACTGGGGTTCTAGCTCGACCTTTTAATGGCGTCTTATATAGGATTCAACCCTCCATCCCTTGGGTGAAAGGCCGGTCCATACCGTTTTGTCTTTCCCTCTTAGGCGAGAGATTCGAACATAAGGTTTTGGGGTGCACAGTGAGGGCCCATTTACTTTCCAAGGTGTAGCTATCAATAGCCGTTGGTTCCAAGAGAACTTGCATCTTTGACTTCTCCGGTAAAGTCATCTACCGGAAAGAAAACCCTCTGCCCTTTGCGCATTCAATTAGCCCGCTTTTGGAAGCAAAGAAAGTCGGAAGGTGTTGGCCTCAGTCGTTTCCTCGGCACCTGACCTTCCATACACCTGACCTTCCATACACCAACGTTCATGGAATAGGGCGCTTACTCGCCAGTACATACAACGTGTGTGTCTCATGGGGTGTCTACACCATCTAGGAATGGCAATTCCAAAGTAGCAAACTCCCTGAGTGCTCTCATTGGCCATACTCACATTTCATTTCTTGGCGACCCTCCAAGGTTCGGAACCAAAAAATAGGCGCCCTCTGAGTCCGAATCTGGAACTCCGCTCATAATGGTCAAAGGGTCCGACCGCGTGTCCACCGCCTAAGGAGCAGCGCAACCTGTTCGACCTAAATACGATAATCTCTTTCACCCTGGTTGCTCTGATATCTGTGCATTTCTAACGTGCTTCCAACAAGATCACCCACTCAATCATGGGGCATTTTCAAGGTTGCGTCCAAGTTTTATACAGCTAGATCTATCTCCACTTGGTGACACTTGCACCGAAGGGAACACCCGCGCTGTCACCCAATCTGGGCACCATTGGTCCCACCGCGTCTCCTCTACGCCGGATTCTATAACGCGAACTGAGCTGGCCCCCTGCCCGGTTGTGGATCTAATCAGAACAGCTATCTATCCTGGTGCTTTTCATTTTAACTATGTACGAGGACAAACAGTAATATAGGGAAATGACAAAAACACGCACTGGTATAGCAAGTTTCCCATTGGATGCCGGAACAACTCAAGTAGGCTTTACCAACGTCCACCGTGTGCTTTCAAGCACACGCCGGAGAGTGTACAGGGGCAGCAGCAGGGGCAACAGAAACACGCTGAATGATTCAAGATGAAGCAACATTAATTTCCTCCGTGCAATCCTTCCTCGATTCCCTCAAACCTTTTTTCTTTCCTTTCTGTTCTTGGCAAACCATGCCTCCGATTCCCACTCCAAAGCCGTCAGCTTTCGAGACAAGGACATAGCATGGCGTTCCTGAGTGATTCTGAGCATCAGATACAGTTAGGATGTGTTAATTATGTTAGATCCAGTTTAAATGATGCGACTGTGCAAGAGATGGTCCTAGCTGCCCTGTGTTGCGACGGCTGGAGCCTTCGGTAACAAGAATGGGCTTACAAATTTGGGGCAGCGAAGGCTCAAAGGCGCTCATTTGAACTTTAGGGCTTGGAAGCTTAGACGATCGCCAAGAGAACATGAATCACCAATAGCCAGAGCGGTGCGAGAGGGGAAAGCCTTGAGTATACCAAATCTGTCAGCAAGTAAGCCCCATCTCATGTGCATGATCATTCGT